TGAGGGGGGGGGGGGGGGTGGTGGTTGGTCGGTCGGTTGTGGGGACCAAGTTTGTTGGTTTTTGTTCGAGTTGCCATTCCTGTTCAATTGAACGATTGACGTATCGCCAGTCGTCTCTCATTCGTTGTGGAACACACCCGTACGTTGGTTAGTGTCAAGAGACGAACATTGAAACCAAGTTGAGGAACGAGTGGGGAGGGAGGGGGGGGGAGGGAGAGAGGGGGGGTGGTCCGGTACAGGAAGGGGGAAGAGGGGAGGGAGAAGGAGATGGAGAGAGGAGGGAGTGTGTGGTGCATGTCGTTCTTGCTCGGTATGGGGCTGTGGGCTGTGGTTGGGAGGAAGGCTGGGTGTGGACGGTAGAGGGAGGGGGGGGGGGCTCTCCCTCGTGCTGGGCCAACTTTCTCGTCAACCAGCGAGTGCCTGGCGCAGTTGCGGCTGAGTACAGAAGATGGGGGCGTTGCGGACGCAGTGTAGCGTGGGTGTGCATGGCGAGAGAGTGGACGGGGGCAGGACAGGGAAGGTGAATAAGGGGATTGGGGTGTTTGGGGTGGCCTTGGTGGCTTGGTGCGCTGTCTATGCACTGTGTATACCAGTCGGGGAGCCGGCTGGCTGAGTGGGTTTTTTTGTCCGAAGTTGAGGTGGACCAAGAAGCGGGAGAGTGGGAGAGCGGAAGAGGGGGGGGAGGGGGGGAGCAGCATGAATGGGGTTGAAGAGGGAGTGGGGGTGAGAGAGAAGCACTAACACAGGTATGTGGTGGGCATGTGGAAGGCAGGACACAGGATGGCGTCGGAGAACGAGAAGCCGGTGAAGATGGAGGAAGGCTCTGAGGGCAACGGCGGCAACGACGGCGAGGGCGGGAGCGACTCGCGCGGCGGCGGCAAGTCGCTCAACGTGGAGGATGTGTTCAAGGTGCGTGTGACGACTGTGGACGGCAACAAGGAGGTCATTTCGTACCAGCTCAAGCGGATCATCGGCAACGGGTCGTTTGGCGTTGTCTTCCTTGCACAGAACCTGCAGAATCAGGAGATGATGGCGATTAAGAAAGTGCTGCAGGACCGGCGGTTCAAGAACCGCGAGCTTGCGGTGATGAAGGTCGTCTCGCACCCGAACGTGGTTGCGTTGCGGTACTTTTTCTACTCGAAGGAGAGCGAGACGGACGAGGAGGTGTACCTCAACCTGATGCTCGAGTATGTGCCGGAGACGGTGTACCGCGTGGCGCGGCACTACGTCAAGCGGTCTGAGACGATGCCGATGCTCTTTGTCAAGCTGTACGCGTACCAGATGTGCCGTGCACTGGCGTACGTGCACTCGCTCGGCATCTGCCACCGCGACATCAAGCCGCAGAATCTGCTGTGCAACGCCGAGACCGGGGTGCTCAAGCTCTGCGACTTTGGATCTGCCAAGTACCTTGTGCCCGGAGAGGCGAACGTGTCATACATTTGCTCGCGCTACTACCGTGCGCCGGAGCTGATCTTTGGATCGACGACGTACACCACGGACATCGACGTCTGGTCGTTGGGCTGTGTCATCGCGGAGCTGCTCCTCGGGCACCCCCTGTTCCCGGGCGAGTCGGGCGTGGATCAGCTCGTGGAGATCATCAAGGTCCTCGGCACGCCGCAGCGCAAGGACATCACGTCGATGAACAAGACGTACGTCGCCTTTGCCTTTCCGCGCATCAAGCCGTATCCGTGGTCCAAGGTTTTCCGCCGCGACGTCCCGCCCGAGGTCATCGACCTCATCTCGCACATGCTCATCTATGCGCCCGAGAAGCGCATCACGCCGTTTGAGGCGCTTGCACACAACGCCTTTGACGAGCTCCGCGACCCGACGACGACGCTGCCCGACGGCTCGCCGCTCCCTGAGCTCTTTAACTTTTCGGAGCGCGAGATGGCCATTGCGCCGTCGCTTCTCTCGTCCATTCTCCCTCAGCAGTAGCCTCGACCTGGCTGCGCGTTCAGTAACATGATGTGATGCTGTAGCAGCAGGTGGTGGGAGGTGTGTAATTTACGCCTTGGCGTTGAGCGAGGCAAGGCGGGCGCGGGTCGACGCCATGTAGTTGAGCGGCTTGGTGTTGCGGAAAAAGATGAGGCCGATGCCACCGAGAGCCATGAGAGCGCCGATGGCAAAGAAGAGCGAGTTGTACGAGCCGGCGGCCTTGGAGATGGCGCCTGTCAGCTGCGGCGCAATGAATGAGGCCGCCGCCGGCGAGAGGTTGAGGAGGCCGAAGATCTTGGCAAAGGCCACGTAGCCGTATTCTTCGGCAAGGATGGTGGGGAAGAGGACGAGCATCGCGCCGAAGAGGACAGCGTCTGAGGTGAGAACGAGGAAGAATATGACCTGGACAGCCTTGGACGGCGCGTTGCCTGTGGTAGCGGCGAGAATGCCGCCAAAGATAAAGAGCGCGCCCCAGATGACAAAGGTGATGCCGGCAAAGGTGGCGGTCCGGCAAATGCGGCGGCGCGACAAGATCTCGTTGGCTGAGCCGGCGGCGAGGGCGGCGACGACGTTAAAGTACGAAAAGACCGAGAGAATCTGGCCGCCCAGCTCGGACGAGCCGTGCGGGGCAAAGTCGTCCCAGATCTGCGAGGCCTGGGTGAGGATGAAAATGGCCGAGAAGAAGCCGATAAACTCGACGGCAAACAGGAAGAGGTAGTACGGGTGCTTAAGAACAACGAGCGCCTCGAGAAATGAAATCGGCTCGTGGACATACGACGGCGAGACGTAGGGCTTCGAGGGGGCGGAAATCGGCGCGGCATCAGCCGAGTTGATGTCGAGCGGGACCGAGGCAAAGTCGTCACCGCCGACGCCTGGCGGACCGACATCGCCCTTTGCCACCAGGCTCTCGGTCTCGCGGTCTTCAACAGAGAGGAGATGCGGGTAGTTGGCCTCGGAGAGAAAAACAGCAGCAGCGTCCCGCCGCCCTGCATGACGAGGCAGAAGAGGGCCAGCAGGCGCATCCACGAGGCCCAGCAGTGATCGCCGGCGCACCCACCCGCATCGCCGTAAACGTTGACCGAGTTGACGGTAAAGGCAACGGAGAGGCCCATGGCCGCGCCGACAAGCGCCACCGACGGGCCTGAGCCCGTGGGCGAGAGCGAGACGCCGACCGACATGGCGACGATGAAGCAGGCGCCGTTGCCGAGGCCGACGAGGAAAAAGGCAAAGCAGAGGAGCGGGCCGGCCTTGGTGGAGGTGACCAGCGACATGATCATGTAGCCACCGGCACCAAGAACAGTGCCGAGTGCAGCAGTAATGAGGAAGCCCTTGCGTCCGCCGATGTGGTCCTTGAGAGCGCCCATGACAAAGTTGAGGTTGACAGCGACGAGGCCCCACGAGGCCACCAGATTGACGTACGAGTCGGAGTAGCCATTGGCCTTGAGGGCGTCGTTGAACCGATTGAACGCGTTGGGCGTCGAACCAAGGAGCGAGAGAAGGACCGTCCCAAGCATGACTGCCGCCGTCATGGCGTACCACTTGGTAGTGTGGGCCATGGTGTGCTCGACAGCGCTAGGCGAGGGGTGGCGGAGGTTGGGGGCGGTTTCGGCTCGCGTGTGCGAGCACCGGCCTAGTGGTGGAGGGGCGACAGAGGTCACGTGCAGGGCTCGTGCGGATTGGCAACGGAATTACATTGTGTGGGCGTCGATGGGGCTATGGCCTGTGGAAGGGATGTGTGGCGGAACAGCGACGACTAGGTCGTGTGTCCCGCGATGGACAACGTGGAGCGCGTAGACGAGGAGGGTGAGGACGGCGGTGGCGGCAAGGGCGGCGATGCGGATGACGGCGCACGGCGTGCAGGATGGCAGGAGTGAGAGATCGATGCAGCCACCGCCAGGCGATGTCGAGCTCTCGGCTGCGTCGTTGACAGTGAGCGCAGCGTGGAGCATCGAGTTGTGGGAGGCAAGGCCGAGGGGAGGCGAGGCGACGGCCACGAGGCCGCAGAAGACGACGACAGTCGCGCCGGCCAGAAGGACCAACAGCGGCTTGGCGTCGCGGTAGAGGCCAGTGTTTGGTGGAAGATCGGCGGCAAAGGCGGAGAGGACGAAAGCAGCGACGACGGGAGCAGCAGCAGCAACGATGGCGGCCTCGAGTGTCGAGTACGTGTGGACCGAGGAGACAAGCCAGCCGCCAGCGGCGATGAGAACGGCCGACATGGCGCGGTTGAGATAGTGGAGAGCAGCACCGTGGCGCTTGACGAGAGCAACGACGCCCGAGCCCATGAGCGCACACGTGATGGCCGGGGTGAGAAGGCCGCAGCCAAAGGCGACGAGCGCCACGGCCGCTGACCGGGCCGAATACGAGATGACGACGGCGAGGAACGGAATGGTGCATGGGTTGATGGAGACGAGGGCGGCAAAGGCGACGCCGACCGCCGGCGGCCATGAGAGCAGCGGCACATCGAGCGGCTGCATGCGATCCGCGAGCGAGAGCGCGCCCGAGACCGCAAAGATCATGCCCATGGCTGCGGTCACGCCACCTGCCGCCGACGAGGTGAGCGCGTACGCAACAGCCGAGGCAAAGGCCACGTACGCGGTCAGAAAGCCTAGAGCAAAGCCGGCGAGATCGGCGACAAGCTGCAGCGACGGGCGGGCGCCGTGCTTTGTGTGCGACGGGAGCAGCGGCTTGGAAGCGATGTGACCAGAGAAGCGGAAGAGGACCAGCGGAATGAGGACGACAACACATGGCGAGAGGGCTGCAGCAAGACCCGAGGTGTATGCCATGCCCGCGGTGGCAGCGAGCATGACGGCGGCAAGAGACGGATGGGTGTGTGTGGGTGGCTACTTGACTCGCTCGGTTCCGGTGAGCAATGGACGTGCGCGAGGTGACACCCGAGGCGGCGACCAAGCCGGTGACCAAGGGCATTCTCAAGCGAGAGCATGGGGACGAGGCGGGTGCAAATGAAGGGTGCAATAAGAAGCGCAAGTATGTGGGCAGGAGGAGGGAGGGGGGGGGGGGGGGGAGGGGGGGAGGGGGGGGGGGCATGGGGGTGGAGGAGGCATTGTTCAGGAAGGGCCGTGCTCGGGGAAGAGGGCTTTGGTGCAGGACTGATGTGAGGAGTGATTGGGATTGGCGGGGGAATGGCGGTTGGTGGGAGTATGGGTAGGGGCATTGTGTGGGATGAAGAGAACCTGGCGTACAATGAGGAGAACAAGTCGGCGACGATGAAGATTGAGGAGCCGGACACGCCGTATCACAACTACAACATGGAGGACGATGACGAGGTGCGGGCGTCAGGCGCGCTGGCAGAAGACGGTGAGGGCAAGGCGGTGCGAGGGAACACGGCGGCAAACGCAGGGCTGGAAACTGCGCCGCCGCCGCCGGCTGTGCCTCAGACTCAGCAACTCGAGTCGCAGGCGGCGTCGATCAGCGAGGCGCTTGCTCACGTGGGGCAGACGTCGGCAACGCCCGAGGCGGAACAGTGGGAAGAGGCACCGGTGTGGACTGAGATTGGCGATGACGACGATGACGATGACGAGGTGGAGGAAGATCCAGAGGAGGTGGCGCGGCGGAAAGCCGAGTTTGAGCGGCGGCGCAAGGCGCACTACAAGATGGAGTTCAAGCCGTACAACCCGAATGATGACGAGGACGACGATGAGTAACACACGCAAGCGCGAACGGCGCGTGGAGGGCCAACGCAGACGCGTTCAATGAGTTATAACATTAGGAGGAAGTAGTTGCAGGCATGAGGCTGCTAGTTCCTAAAGTTGGGCAAGCGGACAACCGTGCCGGATGTGACAACGGCAACGCCCTCGTAGCGGCGTGTGGTGCCGAGGCGCGAGACTTCAAAGACCGGCCGAGCCATGGTGGAGGACTGGTAGGCGAGCGGAAGGGCCGAGGTAGAGTGGAGGTAGACAAGCTCGAGAACGCCGCCGCCAAGGTGAAAAGAAGGAGGCCGCCGGCTAGGCGGCATGCGAGCGAGGGCGCTGAGAGTATGCAATCTTCCATCCACAGCTTGGACCGCGAAGCGACATCTGCGAGCTCGTCGTCGTCATCAGCATCGTTGTTGTTTTCGGCGACGGACATGACAGAGCTGCTCGGGCCAGCAGCCGATGGTGCCGACCCGGTGCCCTCGCAGGCAGACGCTGAGCTGCAGGTGTTGGAGCGGGTATCAAGAGTGCGACGGCGCTTGGAAGCATGCGGGTCAGACGAAGGCGTGGTGGTTGAGCACGAGACCTTAGGAGAGCTTGCATTGTGGACAGCCGAGCGTGCTTCGGAAGCCAGGCTCCGGGCCATCTCGGTGAGTAGGATCTGCTCGCCTTGACCGGTGGCGACGGCGGCGCCTTGGGTATCGGCCCAAACGCCGGCACCCCGGACGGCGGCCGGACCGACACGGCCAGGAACCTTGAGCGGAATGCCTCCCGACGACGAGCCAGCTGCAAAATGGCCCTCAGAGTCGCAGCACACGACGCCGACAGTGTCCATTCGCTGCATCAGTGCAGAGATGGAGTTGTCAAGCAGAGCGCTGTGTTTGCGCTTTCGACTCGGCTTCAAGTTGGAAGCAGTTGGCGAGCACGGTGAGACCGCTGATGCCGACAAAGACGCAGGGGTGACTTGGGCGACATGGGAGAGGCGTACGAGCCCGGACGCGAGGTGAGGATCTCGAGATGGAGCGCGTTCTCACGGATGACGCGCGGCGGGACCGAGGACACGACCAGGTCCGAGTGGCCAAAAAGGGAGGCGGCGTGTGCGACAGCGCCAGGGCCAGCAAGAGCTCCCGGGTTGACGCGGAGTCCTGAGTTGGACATGGAGCCGCCCGAGGCAAGAAGAGCGGCGGCGAGGCGCGATGGGTGCGCGAGAGACGGTGCGGCTGCAACAGAGCCAAACGCGCCCGTGGAACCGTCCATGACGCTCGCATCCATTTCTTGCATGCCCATGGCATTGAGGACAGCGCCGCGTCCGGCGTTGAACTCGCCGCATTCTTCAAGAACGCCGAGGGTGGCGACGACAGCAGCAGGCGCGCGGCCGCCGGCGCGGAGAACAGCAGCGCCGGCCTCAAGAGCGGCGAGGGCGGCGGTGTGGGCCGGAGTGGGTGTCGAGCCGGTGCCGAACGCGACCTGGCCGGCGCCGGTATGGAGAGCAATAAACCAGGAGCGGGGGGAGGGAGGCGGCGGTGGACGACCACCGGTGGGCGAGCCAGAGAGGCTCGGGTACATGGCGTCGGCCATGGGAGGGAGGTGGGTGGAGCAAAAGGTACGACGTGCGGAGAGGCCGGTGGTGTGGTGACGACAAGGTCAAGACCGTTCAGGGCAGTCAGGAGATTGCAACAAAGTGTCAAGGACCAAAAGGGTGAAAAGCCGGGAGAGCACGGAGAGGGAAGGTACGTCCCTAACAACAAGCAGGCGTGCAAGGAAGCGACGTTTGAAGCTCAATACAGCCTACGTGAGGTGTATGAGGGGTGACTGTTGGAGGGGTGGGTGCGGGAAATCTTTCTGAGCTTTCGCCTTTCTCAGACCATTATTGACCGAAATTGGCACAAAATCACCGCACCTGCTGTTGGTCCACGCGTGTCTGGCGGGTGAGTCTTGGCTTCGGCAGTGAGCAGCTGGGGGCAGGATGGGCAAGGTGGGGAGAAGAAGGTGGGGAGAGGCTGCGGCAAGGGACTGATTGCCATTGTCACCTGTGTCACTACCACGGGTAGATCATACTATACCCGTGCTCGGCTCAGCCTGATCAGGGTTGTGCCGGCGGTCGACGGGTCGGCTCGGGCGGCGATCGGTGGTGAGCAGCCGGCAGCGATGCTGATAACGGGATGGTGTCGGCTTTTGTGAATATCGGCGGGCAAGGAGTGGGTGGGTGAGGTTGTAGGGGTGGTGAGTATGTGTGGTGTGGGTGTGGTGGTTGTGGGTGGAGATGGTGGGAAGTGGGGGTCGGATATGGGCCCGTGGCAGGGGGGTCAGCAGCATCAAGGAGACACCAGGCCAACAGCTTGGGCCTCGGGTGGCAGAACTCGGATTCCGGAATACTGCAGCTGTGGATTGGAGACTGTGCAAGGGGGTAGTGCGTGTATGTAGTAAAGTAGTAGTGAAATCAGATCGGGCATATCTTGCATTGCGGTTGGTGGGGGCGTGTGCGGGGTCGGGCGGTCGAGGACGTGCTCAACCGCCTAGGCAAAACAAGCCGACGCGGAAATGAGCCGAGGAAGATGGGTGTCGATGACAGCGATATTTGTACTGGTGATAGTGTGAGGTGAGTGATGACCAGTAGTGTGGTCGCGGGATGTGTAGCTGGCAGTGGGTGGGAGCTACGTGGTGATGAAGGTGGGGCTGGTCGGGCGAGCGGGCGACGGCTTGGGGCTGGTGGTCGGCGAGGCGGGGGCAGCACAGGGGGCGGGATCGGGGCTGGGTGGCTTGAGATTGGTATTGGTTGGAGGATAAGCGGTCTGGCTTGTGATGGTTGAGGGGTATGGGTGTCGGGGTCGGGGACGGGGATGGGGGTGAGATGGAGTGGGGAGAGGAGGCGGAGGAGGAGGAAGAGGAAGCCGAGTGCGCGATGGGATAGTGGTGGGCTTGGCCATGGCAAGGGTGTGGGGGTTGTGGCTGGGATGATAGTGATGGTGGTGGGGTAGGGGGTGGGGGTGGTCGTTTGTGGTGACGGCTGGTAATGAGTATGGTAGGGGGGGATGAGGGGGGTCGTGACGTGGGGTCGTGACGGGCGGAATGGTGGTGGGTATGGCGATTGGGCTTGAGCATTGATGACGGTGAGTATGATACGGCTGATGGATGTGTGTGGGGTGTGGGCGATAGGGGCGGCGGGTACTTGGGCGGCGAGGGGGAGGAGGGCGGACGGATTGGATTGAGATGGATGTCGATGGGGACGATGGCTTGGGATTGGAGGAGGAGGCAGACCACTGCACTGTAGTCCACCACTGCATTGGATACCGTTTGCCCTTGCCCCCTCTTGTTCTTCCTTGTCTTGGCCAGCCCGGTGGTCTCGTCGTCTGGCTTGGTGGTCGGCAGCAGGGGCGGCTGGCGATGAGCGGCCGGCGGGGGCTGTGATGGGCAAGGCCGGAGAAGGGAGGGGGGGATTGGGTTGGAGGGCAGCCTGGTAGCCATTGCTATTGCCGTGGCTATCCGTATGCATGGCCTCGAATGCCCTGTCGATGGCTAGCCTGCTCTCGGTGGTGCCGGCGGTGGTCGGTCGGCGGCGGGCGGCGGTCGGCGGTGAGCAGCCGGCGGTCGGCAGTGATGCTGTTGACGGATTGGCGTCGGCTGATGTGAATATCGGCGGGCAGGCAGTGGGTGGCTATGTTTGCAGGCATCGTGAGTACGCGTGGTGTGGGTGTGGTGGTTGTGGGTGGAGATGATAGGGAGTGGGGGTCGGAGATGGGCCCAGGGAGGGGGGGTCAGCAGCATCGAAGGGACACAGGGCCAACAACTTGGGCCTGAGCCGGCAGAACTCGGATTCTGGAATACAGCAGCTGTGGATTGGAGACTGAGCAAGGTTCCATTGTGTGTATGTAATAGGG